CAACAAACAGCGCTTATCACCCTGGTCCCCTGCTGAGGTCAAGTCCATCAGAGGCTTTACTGGGAGAGGGGCTGGTTCCTGGGACATGGGCAGTGTCACATGCCTCCTGCTTCATAGGTAATTAAAAATTACTTAAGTGTGTTTCCCTACGTAGCCCGTGGTGGGAACGGGGTTTGCTCTGCTGCAGGCTGCAGCCCTTCGTGCTGCAGAGGGAGCTCGCAGTGCGGGTGGTTCACAGGGCTGGGGAGGCTGTGCCCGCCAGGCAGCCAAGGCCCTTGGGACTCTCCAAGGTGCTTTAAGCCTCAGTCTTTGGATATCGAAGCTTAGAAATGCTGTCCTCTGCAGTGTGCTGTTTCCTTGGGGTCTCTCCACGCTGGTTAATTAAACTGTGCTGGGGATATTTGCAGGCACTGGCACGCCATCGTCTCAACTTAAACTGCAGAAAAAATCAACAAGACATCTGTGGTTCAGTCCATCTACCACACTTCCAAAAAAATGCTGAGCACAGTTTGGGAATTAGCATGGCCCTGGGACCACTCCTGCAGGGGAGGTTGGATGTGGCCACCCTGTTTTGGAGGCACGAACGTGCAGATGCAGAGCAATCTGATGGGGCTGCAGGGCTTGTGTCACTGTCCCGGGACAAATGTGGCATGGAGGGCTGATGCAACTGTGCTTGACCTGAACAGACCACAGCTCAACTTGCCAGCAGAGAACCTGTAGGAGATATCTGGGAAGTCCCACTGGTTAACCAGTCCCACACCCCAGTGATCCCCCAGTGCAGTGGTGCCGTGCCCTTTCAGGCTTGGGTTCTGGTTCAGGCTGGGTGTAGTCACCTGGGCGGTCAGGGGACGAGGACATGGGAGAAAGAGCAAGCCCTATGGCATTACCAGACACCCGTGCCCCCTTTCATAGTGCCTTTCCTGACATGTACAGGAATGGACAAAGGGTTCTCCCAGGCCATGCAGAATAAACATCTAACAAAGGCTAAGGATATCTGACCTGGCCGACAGTGTGCCACTCTGCCTCAAGGGATGGCTTTCTTCCCTTTAAATCTGCTTGAACTCTTTGCTTTTCTCCAGCTCTTCAGAGCAAACTTTCGATCGGGCAGAGATGTGCTGTACTTGGCTGTGGCCTTTCCATAGGAGGGCATGGACAAAAGAAAGCTTAGTCAAGGATTTTGCAGTAGCCGCCCCAAGCGAACGTGTTGGCATGGTGTGAGCAGCGGGAGGCTGCTCCCATGTGGGATTGCTGGAGAACTCCTTCAGCCTGGGAACTCACTTAAAATAATTGATCAGCTGATGGTCTCCAGAAATCTCTCCCTACTGTTATACCACCCGTCGGTGATGCTTCTGCAGATCAAAGCTAGATAGGGAATGAGGAGAGTGGCTCCTGAAATGTTGGTTGCACGACTCTGAAAAGAACAGCCGTTATTTTAAACCTTTCCATTATAGTCAATTAGAACTAATGAATCACATTAATTGGGTGTCACTTTTGACAACCTGCAAAGCAGAAGTCCTATTTATGTTACACGTAATTGCAGGCTTCTGCGGACAGAACAGCAAGGGCTCACTTCACCAATCCAGGGGAATGCTTTCATTCATGATTTCCTTCAGTCAGTCATCCCCGGGCTCATACAGGGTTAATAGTAGTGCACTCAGCAGCATGTTGTGCGAACAGTGCGAAAGCCCGTCCAGGCTGTAAGCTGATGGGAGCACTCTGCTTGCGAAAACAGAGGTCTGGCAGATGATGAGGCTGTGCTGGTCTCAGCCTTTGGCCTCGTGGAAAGAGTAGGTCTAAACAAAAGCCCAAGAAAGGTCTGCCTTGCATCCCCAGGTCAGCTGGGAGAGCACTCAGCGGAAAGGATGGGACCATCAGCCAGGGGACGGGTTTTTTTGGCCATCATTAAATCATTGGTCCCTGGCTCCTTGTGGCTGAACACCATGCATGATGGGTGACACCTCCTAAGCCCAGCAAAGAAGGGTCCTACCTAGACTGCAGAGGACAGGAATCCATTAGGTTTCGGAAGGGACTCCTCTCCCGTTGTTGCTGTTGGCTGCGCGGCTGCTCACTGGAATGTGTTGTGCTGTCTGGACTTTATTGCATTATGCAAGCAATCCGTGTAATTTTAGAATTACAAAAAATATACAGTCCCCATTTCCTCCCATTGATGAAGACCATTTGTGTTTGTGTAAAGGGGACGGTCTGCCAGGAAGGAATGCAGAAAGGTGAAAACGGGAAGGCATGGTATTGGAGGATGTTTCCTTTCTTTCCTTCCAGCTTCTTTTTCACCTGGTTAAAGCTAACATTGGAGTTCTGCTGAAATTTCAAATATTCTGCCTCACGAGTAAGGAGGCCCATTGCTCATAAATGCCAAATAAATACTAAATAAAACAGTCAAGAAGATGGTCAGAAAATCGAATTGGTTGGGGCTATTTGAATGGATGAGAAAATAACATAGAAATGGCAGAAAGGTACATGAGAAATCAGAGATCACAGCTGTATCATGCATCACCTGTTCTCAGAGTAGTGGATTGCAAAGAACCTTCCCCTGTGTAACCACAGATTGTCTTCTCTCTTCTTTGTGAAGAGGCTCAGAACAGAGCCTAGCAAGGACTATTTTAATTAAAAAAAAAAATAAATTACTCTTTCCATGTGACACAAACCAGCACAGGAAGATTGCCGTGCTTTCCTTTGGGGGCAGGCGGGGAGGGAGCAGCAGTTCCTAAAACTCCCTGGATTATTGTAAACTATTTTTATTTCACTTGATTGTTTTTATTTCTATTTAAGGGGCAGGAGAAAGTAAGGGGTGTTACTATAAAAGGAGATTGGAATATAATTCTTCACTCCTGCATTGGTTTTGCTTGGTGTGATTGCACCAGTTTGGTAGAATAACCTTAGAATAACACACGTGTAATGGCATGCAACCCTCAGACAAAGCCGTTGACAGGGCACATTTTCACTAGCTCCCTCTCTCCTTCCTTCCCCCCTCTCTCCCTCCCTCTCTGTCTTCTCCTGACTTGCCCTTTCTCTGTCCATTAGCTCAGCAAAATGTATTTCGATTGCAAGAAGCCAGGGCTCAGGTCTGAGCTCTCTTTCTGCCTGCAAGGAGCCTGTTAGGAGGCCAAAGCAAATTCCCTTTGGGCTGTCCCAGGACTTACTGAAATGTTTCCCTTGGTTGCAAATGCAAACAACTCCCCAGTGCAGAGCTGGCTTCACGTTTCTCTCACTCCATACTTCTGACCTTGCTCTCTGTCCCGGCCAGCGTCTGTCCGTTGTGTGACTGGGGCCAAAAAAGGAGACCACACAGGACAAGGCTCTCAGAGCTGCGCAGTGGAGGCTGAGGCTATAGCTGCCTGTCCATCCCGAAGCCTATAGGTGTCAAACCCCGAAACCAGAGACAGCAACTAGCTCATAGCTCTGGTAGTGAAATGCATTCCTTTTCCAAGCAAAAAACATGCACAGTTCACCCTACAGCTGGGAGAACTGGTGGTTCAGAATAATTGTTCTGAATCAGTTCCTTTGGGAGTTTGCAAACAACCCGCCACTGGATCCTGGGTCCAGCAAACACCATCATTATACAAGCATTTCACAATGCAAATCAGCCTCTTGGTGGAGAGCTGCTGACTTTGCCTCCATGCTATATGAGTTCTGCAGTAGGTCTCGCTTTATGGACTAGTTAGCAGATACTTTTGAAACATGCTGGGGAGCAAATGAGATGCATTTCAGGCTGACTCTTGGATGGATAGTCAGCCCTGGTAAAATACATGTCTTATTTCACTCGTAATGCCAAATACTTCATGAGTATTTGCTAGTAAGGCCCTGTTATTCAAAGTAAGCAAAATTAGACCTTTTATCCATAGATCACAGTGACTTCTCACTGTGTGGCCATGTCCCCTTCTGAAACCCACCCTGCCTGCTGCAGGCAGGTGTGGTCCAGCCTCAGCATTAGGTCCATTTAATTTCCCCTCCGGCTTGTCCTGCTGACAGATGGCAGCTCTAAAGGGAAAACCGTTTCAGTGTTCATCAGAGGAGAAAAAATGTCCTAGGCTGAACTGACAGGGAAAAGAGGCCAGCAGTGCTGCAATGAGTTAGCCGGCTTCATGCAGGTGTCAAAGCAGCATCCAGGCACTCTCCTTCCAAAGCCGGGGACCAAGCGTGTCCCAGCAGCTCTGCACCCATTGCCTTGATGCTTGGCACAAACAGAGCTTGAGAAACTGGTATTTTATTAGCCCCTCCAGAGCAGTGGGGACTTGCAGGAAAGTCTCCTGACAGTGCAATTTTGTTGAGCTACAGTGACATCCAGTGGCTGTTCCCGATGGACCTTTTCAGGCTGAGCTTGCATTTCTGCCAGGGTCCCTGCACATCTGGCATGGGGAAATGCAGATTTTTCTCAGTGCAGAGCAGAGCAGCGGGTGAGCTGGCAGCGATCTGCTTGGGAGCTTGGTACTGGTCTCAGAAAGCCTCTGCTGGCTCTTAAAGTAGAAGAGTGATGCTGTATTTTTACCTGCATATACATTTCAAATCCTTTAGAATTTCCTTTCTGTATACTCATTGTTTACAAGCTCTTATTAACAAAGCATCCCTGTGCAAGGCCTTCCACAGAGAGACAGCAAAAGCCTTTGCCACAAAGAAGTGTCTGCATCGTAGCTAGAATTTATCAAAATAAGGAAAAATCCACAGAGGTTCTTTCAATCCTATTGTTTACTTTTTTTAAAAAAGTCCAGTCTTGCTAATGTTTAACTGTCATGTAATCTAGGAAGGAAAAGGCCCAACATACGGAAGATGGGAGCAGTCATCCCAGCAACTTTCCCGTACTTTGGCAGCTGTAGATATTTTGTAGGCACCATTGCAACAAATAGTCATAAAAAGCCCACCAAAGGATGATAGTGCTGCTGTTCTCATCTATTAGGAGCCTTTTTTGCATTTCTAGAGAAAGGCAGGCAGGGTGTGTGAAGGTGTACAGCAGAAGCAGGGAACGATGGCTGCGTGTGTTGACAGAGCAATGCCTGGAATCAAAATTAGGGTAGAGCGGGAGGTCCCAATGGTGGGATTCAGTACTGGGATCATCAAGAGGGGAGTTAGCGCAGAGAGCAAGACTGCAGGCTTCAAAACATGAGCTGATCAGATCTAGGAAATAGCCAGGTCCTCTCTCCTCTTGTCGCCTTAGAACTTTTGAGCAGATTTAGCACAAAAATAGTCCCTGTATATGTGTTTTACAGTCTCTTTTTTGTGTTTGTCCATCCCTTCAGGAACCAGTGAAGACCTATTCCAGGACTCTGAGGGGCGGGAGGGATCTGAGCCAATTGAGGAACACCAGTTTTCAGACCTAGAGGAATCTGACGATGATGATGACAATGAAGATGAGGAAGATGAGGAGGAAGAGGAGAGCCAAGATGAGCCACCTTTAAAACTGCTGGAAGGCAAATATACCACCCTCCCAATGCACTCTTCAGGTGGCTCTCCATCTTCTCAAGAGGAAGGCACCGAAATAGCATTGTCCTTAGCCCAAGAAACTGTTTCCAGCAGCCAAAACGTAGGTGAAGGCCAGCAGGCCTCCTCCTCAGGGCTGGAAACAAAGTGGTCAGCAGACAGCAGTGACATTGCTGTGTGCCACAGCTTCTTGAGTCTCCACAGACCAGCTTTGACCTCCACCGAACAATTGGCTTCTGCTGAAAGAGAGTCTGTCACAAGGCCACAGATGTCCTTAGTTATGGACCTGTCAACCTCAAAAGACACTTCCCCAAGAAAAAGGTGGTCTCCAAGCCAGGACTCTGGCAGAGGTGGTGGCAGCAGCAGACCAATGCTAGCGAGAAAGCACCTATTAACCAAAAATGAAACTTCACCGAAACGGTTTTCACCAACTGGAGAACTGTCTTCTCTAAGGTGCCTGTCTCCAGGGAGAGGGTTGTCTCCTTGCCAGCGTGTCTCTCCCAGGAGGGAGGCATCTCCACTGAGATGTGTGTCACCAAGACTTGAGCTGTCGCCCAGCAGGCATATTTCCCCCAGAAGAGAGCTGTCCCCAAGAACATACCTTCCACCAGAAGGAGAAGTCTCCCCTGTGAGGCACTCGTCGCCGAGCAGAGAGATGTCATCAGTCAGATATTTATCGCTGAAGAAAGTCTTGTCTCCAGGCTGTTCAGAGTCGCCTAGGTATCCATCCCCCGGGAAAGAGGACTTGCCTGGTACTAGCAAATCAGCAGCAGATGACAAAGTTCAAAGCTCATATCAAGCCCAGCATGGGATATTATCTTCGATGCCTCTACCTCACAGGTTCTTTGGCAAAAACGTACAGCTCTATGAGTCCAAGCTGGTAAGTTCAAGCCCCTCTTGCCTTCTAGTCCCTGCAGTACGTTCTCTGATATGTTTTCTATGAAGGTTGCAATGCAGAAATGCACAGTGACTCTGACTATGACTGATGTCACAGGTAACCCAGAGAAAAGTGACAGCGGACAGCAATGGGTTTTGCACCCATTTTGGTCCTGCCCCTCTCAGTTGAAGAGAAATAAAGTTGTCCCTTCTCCAAGGGATTATTTACACTCCTGACCCAACCAGTCTCCTGCTGAGACAAGCAGTAAGGATGACTGCTTAATAATGACTAGTTGTCACTAAGAGGCTTTTATTTTCCTGGGAATTTCATAGCCATTTCTGAAATTTCACCAGCTGGGGTGAAGATGTGACCATTTTTCACTGTTCAGTGACCTGAACCAGATCTGAACTAGCCATTGCACTCTATTGGTGACTCCTGGGCTATGTACATATGGGCAGCCAAATCTGTTAGATTAACTGTTGAGAAATGTTTGTTTGGACATCTCTGATTTCATCTCGCTTCTCTCTTCAGCACAGAGAAGTGTTTCCCACTGGGTCCAGAAAATTATTTAATCTCTCTGCTGGACATATCAAATCCTATGGGTAAAGGAAAATTGCATGTTCCTCCCACTGCTACAGGCAAATTAGATGTCGGGTTTGGTGGAACGTTTCCCATTTCTACTGAAGTGCCTGGCTGTCCTGTAATTTATGCTGATGAACATGAGATTCAGTTGCAGGAGTTGCTCTGCTGTGAAACTGGTGTGAGGAGAGACTCGAGCCCTTAGGGACTGCACTGGGAAGAGAGAGGCCTTTATACAACCCCTGGAGGACCTGTCGCAGCAGATGCTGACCCAGGTCTTCTCCAGAAAAGCCATGCTGCCCAGTGTGCATTTCTTCCGTGTCTATCATAACGTACCGTCTTTTGCTGCTGCCTTCCTTCTGCTTTCCACTATGAGTGTTTGTCTTACCTTCTCAGATACTATTTTGGTTTAGGGCTAAACTTTTGCTTACTTGAGTGCTATTTCCCTTTCCTGTCAATTAACTTCTTGTGGTGAATCTCAGGGCTGTGGAAACCCTGGTCCTTCAACTCTAAAACATCTTCGTCAGGAAAACTGCTCACTGCCACTACTTGTAGCAAATCCCCTAAGCTCCCTAGTCCATTGTAGGAGACAATATTGTATACCCCTGCTCATCTGCCCAGTCACACCTTTTAACTTACACTCTCACACACATACCTTCTTCTCCATTTTCCTGCTCCTTTTGTGCCCCCAAAGTCACCACTGTTGCTTTTCTTATGTGCCTCCAAAGCAACAATAAAGACCTGAATGGGAAACTTTCCATTTATCAGCGAGATGGACAGCTGGACTTTCATTGCAAAATTACGTTCCTGGTAAGGTTAAAAGATAGAAATATCAGACGTGCATTTATCAGATCCCAAATGGAGCTCTGTGCTCAAAACTGGTGCCCTATGCATTGCTTAGAAACTTGGTGATGATCTTAGCTTAGCTTCAGTGTAAGGCTTTCTGCTAAGTCTGTGCATCAGGCCTGGTCATGACCATCTCTCTTCCCACTGGCTCTTGCAGTAGATAGTCTCTCCTTCTGGTGGCTGTTGCACCATCGAGGTGAATAGTTTGGGGGTTTCCCAGCATCCCTATGGTGATTCTGCCAAGACTTTATGTGGATAAGTGAGATTTAGCAAGTGTTTGGGCTTGTGACTGCTGACCAAGTATATACCATATTCAGTGGCTCTTGCTTTCTCTCTCTTCTGTTCTCTTTTGCTGCTTTCCTCTGTCGCCTCTTCATAGAAATCCAGCTCACAGGGTCAGGCAATTCCTCATAATCCTACAAAGAAATATGCCCTCCAGTGAATCCTCAAATTTTATAGCTACCCCCATCTTAATGGAAAGTTGATTTCAGTTTCTGTTGCTTCCTCTTCTTGGGAGTCCTGTTTAGGGGTTTAGTTATAACCTCATCACTAATTAATCCATTTCTGTTTAGCCACATATCTCTCCATGATGTACATTAGGAAACTATGTGAAGCACCGAGAGAGAAAGAGGAAAAGGTAAAATGGTAGGGTCTTAACCCTTGATTTCTACAGACCACACCATGAGGGTGGTGGTGGGGACCACACTGATGGGTATGCTTTGTGTCAAAGGAGAGTTAATGCTATCTCTCACCCGGTCCAAAACATCCTTACAATTAGCAGCTGTAAGGATGTAATCCTGCTTTAATAAAGTGTGTATTTTACAGTAAAAATAAATAATATTATTCTGGGCTTTCAGAAACCCCATGTACTGTAAGGGATCCAAAGCAGCTCGGATGGCAGGAAACACTGGCATCCTCTGCCAGGGTTTCAGAGGCAACTCTGATAATAGGACAAGGGGGAATGGTTTTAAACTAAAAATGGGTAGATTCAGACTAGATATAAGGGAGAAATTTTTTACAATGAGGGTGGTGAAAGACTGGAACAGGTTGCCCAGAGAGGCTGTAGATGCCCAATCCCTGGAAACATTCAAGGTCAGGTTGGACGGGGCTCTGAGCAACCTGATCTAGTTGAAGATGTCCCTGCTTATTGCAGGAGGGTTGGACTAGATGACCTTTAAAGGTCTCTTCCAACCCAAACCAGTCTATGATTTTATAATGATCCAAGCCTGAACCAAAGCCCTGGATCTGTGCCCCAAAAGACCGTGGGCATATTTGTACCCAGAAGGCAAATGCTGTGGGTTGTGTTGCTCCTTACCTTAAAGGTTTGGGGGTCCAAATCTTCCTCAGTTGATTAATGTCCCACAAATTAGAATAAAATGTTAACAAAATCAATCCTTATAGTGAGCATTAATGATGTTAATGCTGTAACTTGTACGTTACACTGATTCAGCTGTTTCTTTTCCTTCTCCGGTGCAGAAGATAGAACCACGAAGCCCAGCATGCTCACCTGGCGTCACGCAGCCCGTCTGCTCCAGACCCTTGCAGGCACCTCATGAAATACATGTCCACGCTCCCAGCCGAGGGGAGGAGAATGTCTTCAGCCATCTCCCATTGCATTCGCAGCAGCTCACGAGGACCCCGTATCCTATGATTCCCATTGGGGGCATCCAGATGGTCCAGGCGAGGCCAAGCACCCATCCCAGCTTGGTGCCCAGTTCAGTTGTGTCCCTGCAAGCGGGATACTTCGCCTCTGGTGGCAGCAGCTTCGCAGAGCTCAGCCGGGCTCCTGAGAGGGACAAGGAACCACAGGTCCCCCAGGAGCCGTCGTCGGCATCCGTCTCCCCGGTTGCAAAGGTTTCTAAGTACACACTGTCCCCAGAGCTTATGAGCAGTGGTTACTTAGAAGAGAAGATGAGGACTAGTGAGCTTCAGCAAAAGACAGACCAGGAGGAATACAGGGTAAAAATGTTCGCTGAGTCTAGCCACGCGGAGCAGTCAGGCTGCTCGGCATCCCCAGCCAGCCCCAGCACAACCGATGAGCACTCTCCAAAGCCTTCGACAAGCGGGGAAGAACCCTTGAAAAAAACGGGCAAGAAGCAATCTGGCAGCTCAAGCACTTCTTTTGAATCATCCTGCACTTTCATCTCAGATCTCCCCTCCCAGCCGTTGGACCGAAGCAGCAGCACCGGCTGTCTCTCCGAGCCCTCATCGAGCCATTCGCATGCCCAGCCGTTCTCCGTCCGGAGGAGAAACCTCTCCGGAGAGCCCAGTCGCCAAGGGGGAACCTCCAGGAAGAGCAGTCCACACCTAGAGCACGCAGATTTAGGTCAAACTCAAAACAAGGTGGATGAAAACACGGGAAGTACTTAAGCCTCCACCATCTGTTCCACTTTAGGCTTCCTATGTAAAATCAACAGACATTTTCAACACTATTTCCTTTAGTATAATCATCGCTATAAGAAGCACTCTAGTGAATGACCAAACCCATGGAAGATTCCTGGTTTTCTTTGTCCCAGTCTGGTATTATCTCCACATGTATGCAGTTACTTGTGCCTTTTTCTATACCTTTTGTTGCTTGAAATGTACAAAAATGTTTGAGGCTGTGAATATTTTTTTAGAGTTTTTTGGAAAGGGGTTTGTTAGACCTTGTCTTTTTTGCCATTTAGGTGTGCGTTATTATGGGCCTGAGAGATGCAGAAAGGAAAGGGTTAAGCATTTTAAGAGGAAGAAGATGCACTGAAAACAAAAACAAAACAGAAAAACTTTTTTATATTGATTAAATGATTAAAAAGAAAACCAAACCCTTGCTCTTGTGTACAGAAGTTTATGATTCGTATTTATTACATGCTTTATTTAATTCTCGCAAAGTGCTTGTTTTTTTTTCTTGCATCCCTCTGATTGCCTATGGTTGTGCTTTAAACAGTTGAGACTGCTTTACATTTGAAAAACGTGTTTACCCTGAACTTGTAAATGAAACTAGCACTTCCTTGAGTAGGGGGAGGTTCATTCGCAGTGAGAGAAATTGTCACTCAAAAGAGAAAAAGAATCTTGAGCATCCCTCCCTCCTGCAGAACCCATCAAAGCACTTTTCTAAAAAGGGACATAAAAAAGGTTCTTCTTCAAAGATTTAACTGCAAGAACATAGGAATGTATCGAATGTAGACCCAGTGCCAGGAATGGTGTCTCTCGCTGGACGAGCCGGCCTCCTGCTTGCTTTAATCCTTCCATCCCGCGCCTGCTCCCCACGCACACGGCTGCTCTGCGATGCCCCCGGCATTGCCCTGGCAAAGTCATGCCTGTGCCTGAGAGCCCCTCTTTTCTGGGGTTTGGAAGCCCTCTGTAAACACCCTCCCTTGGTTTAAAAGTGGAAGTAAACTCAGCCTTGCAACCATTTTTCCTCCGTAATTTTTTAGGTGCGGACAAGCTCCCTCCATCCCATCCCTGCTCGGTCCCGGCTGGTTTGGCTTCGTTGAGCTCTAGGGATGCAGGAGTAGTTTGTGCTCTGCTCGTTTGCACGCCTGCGGCTCTGTAACTCATGAGTGACTCTGTGTCTTATTTTAATTTTATTTATTTATTTAAGTGGAACGTCGCAAACGTAGTCCTTATTGTGCAGATGGGCCCTTTTTTGGTGTTTTGGAAGAAAAAGGTTATGATGCTGAGTGGTTAATGTTTGCAATCAGCTTGTTATGCATACACAGTAACTTTTTCCAGAGCAATTTTTTAACTATGACCATCCATAGCAGAGCAATGGCCTCTACTGCCAATAGATATGATACCAAATACAGAGAGACCCGATGGAGCCATTCCTCTCTGTCACATTAACACACTTTTAAAAATACAAACATTCGATACATGTTTGCCCTAGCAGACAGCAGGCTCTTTACTACTTCAGAGGGTTTTCTGGTCTATGGAATCTGTACAAACCTCTTTTTTTTTATTTTAACAACAAAAAAAAATATTTAACCAGTGGACCAGTTCTTTCTTCTTTCAGAGCTGTTCCAGTTTATCGGGTACGTAATACACTTTTTAAAAAAAAAAAAATTAAAAAAAAATTAAATCAAACAAAACCCTGAATGAGAACATATTTCCTTGCCAGACTTGATGAGCTATGAACTGTTCCCGTTTCACGGGCAAATAATATAAATTTTTTAATAATCTTCTGTGATTTTTTTTTCTTTTCTTGTAAAGGGAATTAAGTACAAAAGAAGATATCATGGAAATAACATTAAGGCTGTGACACTGACCAAAACAACATCCAGAACCCATTTATACCTTAATTAGCACTTTTATCAAGTTTCCCTTTTTTCCCATCTCCCCCTCTTTGGCCCCAAGCCTGGGAGCTGGTCCTGCTTTCAAACCCGGCCAGATCCCATGGCAGGAGCAGGGGCTGGGAGTTCAAGTTCAGCGTAGCAACTCTGTTCCGTGAAACTCTTAAGCACCAGCTGAAATCCTACTCGGGCTTTAAGCATGTGCTTAATATCAAGATGACTCGGAGTGGACTGCTCAGCCAGGGTCGGTGTGAGCATCCCTGGAAACCATCCACCAAATCTTGTGACAGTTTCGAATTTCCTGGTTTCTGCCACTTTTTCCACCCTTGCCCTTGTCACACTCTTAACATTATTCCAAGGTAGCTTTTTGTATTTAATTTTTTTTAATATATATATATATTGAAATTGTACATAAAGAAAAATAATGCAGCAGTTGTGCACTCAGCGTCCTCGTTTTGTTAGGTGCATTTGACATGAGCTTTGGGCTAGATCAAATTTGCTCGGCTTCTTTCTGTAACTGTATTTTAATCCTTGACCTGTTGATACTTCGCATGGGTTTTTTTTTTCTCTCTCTGTCATTGCTGGACAGAGGAAAAAAAGAAAGCCCAACAAAACCAAGAAGTTTTTACATTGTTTTCTTGCGGTTTATTATTATTATTATTAATTATTATTATTATTATTACTATTATTTAAAGCTTTTCCAGCAGCTCAAGATGAGTTGAAGCTTTCTGCATCTCAGCTGCAGAGCATCCAGGCTGGCAGCTGGTGCTGCGTGGGGCAGCGGTGCGTGTGACCATCCGGATGCCTTTGCCCGCAGCCAAAACAAAGCGGGGAGAGGAGTTTGGGAAAGGGCCATGCAGCAGTGAGGTGCTCCCCAGGTCACGCCCTGCTCGGAACCCATACCCACCACCTGGCAGCCACGGAGCGGGTGCACGCGGGGATCGCTGAAAACTCAGGAGATGGGCAAAAAAACGCCCAAGGCTGTGCCGAGTCTTGAGCCGGTTTGGCTTCCCAGCAGAGCGGCTGGGGGGCCGGCGGGGTGACAACTCATGTATTCTAGGAATGCTGTGTGGTGACAGATTCTGATGTTCTGAAATGGACAAAAAGAAAAAAAAAAAAAAAAAAAAAAAAAAAAAAAAATTTAAGGGCTAATTATCACACTGACAGCTCAGAGCTCCGCGGGAAGGGTGTCCTCCTCCGCACCGGCACCAGCATCTCCATCTGCGGGCAGGGCGGGTGCCCCCGAGGGGCTGCCCCAGCCCTTCTGTGAAATCATAGTGTGACCTTGTGCAAATCGTGTCTCCCCTCTGCCTCATACTCAGCCAAGGAGCACAGTGGTGCAGCTCCACCGATTTTCAGAGTTCATGATATTTACAGCAGGGCTGAAGGCCCAGCCATCGCTGGTGGCTGCCTTTCCTATCTGGAGCACCCGTTGGCTTCCCTGTGTCACACTTGGTGAAAGCTGTTTGCAGGTCACAGCTTTTAACATCACTCTGGGTGTCTGTTCTGTCTGCAAAATAGGGGTGATGATAAATCCTAATTTACCTTCCACAAAGGCCGCAGGGGTGGCTAAGTTTGTATCTGTACAGATGCTTTGCAGAACAGTTAGCAGTATTATTTGCAAGAGAATGTATTAATAATGCAAATAGGCAAATAAATTAAAAACCAAAGCTCAGCCCTTCCTTTTCATCAGCAGGTAGAAATAAAATCTGCTTTTCTTATGGCAGAGGTTCTTAAATTTATAGTCCATGGAGGCACGTGGCCTCCAGAGGGTGGCTGCTCCTCTTTGTTACGTATCTGGTTAATCAGCCAAAACCCTACTCTGATATTTCCTTCCCTGGTAAACTGCTTGGGTAGATCCCATGAATGCAGGTAGTCAATGGCAAATGGATGCTCTGGCATCCAAGAAATAATTCGGTATGGAGGACTTGGCCCATGCTCTTAAATAACTCCTTGAAGCAGTCATGTTAAGTACCAAGCCCTGTATCCAGAGGTAATAAAGCACTTGTATGTTGGCTTAAGCTTAAGCATTTCTGGAGTTTCAGTAACTTCATAGTGCTTAAGCATGGGTTTAGCTTCTTTTATCAAGGTTACAGAGCTCGGTGTTTTGCAGGACTGAGCAGACCATGGGAGGAGGAGAGTGGGGCAGTTGGCTCCCCAAAATGACCCCAAGCCTTGAAGCAGATCTCTGTCAGCTCTAATTATTCACAGCTTGTTGGCTGGGTACCCAGGAACTGCAGCAGGAAACTTTTACAAGTAATGATGAAGTAGCTGTGACTTTACAGCTTATGACTGGGAAATGTATTTCATCACCTGCTCCTAAGGGGTGACATTTTCAGCCCTGGTGTCTATAAAGTTACACTCCTCGGCCAGTGCTCGGGCTTGCTGATAAAAGCTGCCCGCCGGTCCCAAACCCTGCGCTCGCTCGAGCCCTGTCAAAGCCACCGGGGTTTGCTGTGAGCGCTCAGTCGGTCCCACTGCCCGCTCGCCTGCCGAGCCCTGGAGCTGGACGCGGCAGGAGATGCCTGCAGGCAGAGCTGGGTGATGCCTACCTGCCGTCAGCCAGAGTAAAGCATCCGTGCACCCTTCCAGCGGTTGACCATCAGCTCCACGGGAGTGATGTTAGGCACAACTGGCCACCTCCCCATTGCTTTTCTTTCACTTCCACCAAAAAATAATTTGCAAAAGGGTTGGTTTTCCCTTAAGCCAGCTTTCATTTTTACCTGGTTTTTGTTTTAAATCCACAGAAACAGCACCTGAACAAGCAATATACTTGGTCACGCAGAAGTCATTAAAATTATTCCAATTTTCATGCAAAATCCTGGACAATTTGATCTAGCCCTTTTCTGCTGTTCTTGCAATTGTTTTTCATTTGTTGACTTGGTTTCATCATGTGCTTTTCTTATTCTTTTGTTTTTTAATATTTCCATCTATTGCACAGTATTTACAAATAAAACCATATTGTAAATTATTTACAAAAAAATAAAAAAAAATTAAAAAAATCAGTCCTGATGGCATAAAACCAATCTGTTTTCATTACTGAGATATGATGGCACTTACGATCACTTTAGTAAATGTAATGTAAAAAAATAATAATAATAATAATGTGTACGCAAATTTAATATACATGGTCTCATGTAAGATAAATATTTGCCTTTTTTTCTAAAAGGTGTATGTATTCTGTAAGTGGAATAGTCTGTAGAAAGTTTCTATATGTTCTTAAAATGGCAATACATTCCAAAAAAGGTACTGTAAATATGTACAGCGTACAATGTAATTTGGTAGTTTTGCCTGTAATTTTATTTTAACTCCAGTTTCTACACTTGCATCTTGCAATGTCTGTATGGTTATATCAGTGCAAAAAAATGCAGGTAAAAGCACAGTCTGATGTAAAAAAAAAACAACAAAAAACATACAAAAAAAAAACAAAAAAAAGAAAAAATACTCAGTATTTGATGTTTGTGACCCTTATTGTAAATGACATCTGTACTGTGAATGAGAAGTTTTTACAAGTATAATATTGCCTTTACTACAGCTCAGATTGTCTGCTCAGTCTGAGCATATTTTTAAAAAAATAGCATGTTGGAATAAATTTTAAAATCCCAACATATTACTACTTGCATGACTGGCAGTCTTTAATTTTAGTTTGGTTTAGCACAGTCAGGGACCTGGGCTGTAAAACAATGGAGGCAAATTCGGATAAACCAGTGTTAAGTTGCAGCCACCCCTCCCAAGCAATCGCTGCTGAAACACCCCAGTTGCATGTAAAGTGCTGCCGTAACAGAAATGCCACGAACGTGGTTTTTTTCAGCATTTCTTCCTCGTAGCGCAGAGGTAGTGAAGCAAAGCGGTGTGGTGGATGCTCCGATGGGGCTCTGCAGAGGCCGGACTGAATCCAGTGCTCTGATCAGAGACCATCTGCAGGAAGCGTCACTGGGTTTGATTTTTTTAAGAGGTGTCCTTCCTTGCTGGATTCCCCCAAACCTGGACTGCTGCACAGCATCCCGTGGTGGCCACATACGCTATGGGGGGTCTTGCCGGGCTTTCTGCTGCCGGGGGAAGCAGCGTGCCCTGCCCGCGAGCCGAGAGGGCTGCTTTCCTCACTCCCTCCTTGTCACGTCCCTCCAGACCATCCTTCCCCCTCCAGGGCACGTCTGGGCATTTCTCCCCACTGCGTCCTTGCCAAGTTAAACACATCGAGGGCCTGATCCAGTGAGGCTGCGCTCCAACCCCAGTTCTTGGCCAGGGAGATTAGGAGAGGCTTTGCAAGCCCCAGCGGTGCTCCCTCCTCTGCCCTGCCATCACGCCAGGGTGTGGGGTGCTGCCTGCCCCACTGCCTGGGGCATCCCCGCCGCAGGGCCAGCTGGGGGAAAGCAACCCTAAAGAGGGTGTTTTGGAGCAGGGAGGGAATGTGCTCCCCTCCTTGTCCTCCTTTGCCCGTTCACCCTGCCTGCAGGGAGCAGCTCTGGGGCTTGCTGCACCCCGGCACCCCTGCGAACCCTGACCTTTCCGACCATGCTCTCCAGCTAATGCAAGCCTCGGTGCAGCAAGCATCACATCTCGGGAGCCAGGCCTGCCTGAGGCTGGTCCACCGCCAGTGCTGCTCCTGAAATGAGCATCACCATTAGGAAAAAAAAAAACCCAAACAAAAACCAGAAAAAAAATAAAAGCTTGTAATTTCCCCCTGCTAATTGTCCTTGCAACGAAGCAGGCTGCCTTCAGCCCATCCGTTCCCTTTATGCCTCAGTAAACCCTTCTGGGCAACTTCCCACCTGCTCATCTTCATCCCATCGTCTCCAGCAGTCTGACCAGCCTTTGATGGACACTTGCAGACAAGTTCAGAGCCTGAAGCGGGGGGGCTGATGGAGGGAGGCTTTGCAAAATAGGTCAAGAAAGGAAATCTCTATCCGATTTCTGTCTGTGACCATGCGGCTGGGGCTGCATCAGCCAGCAGAACCAGCTGCTCCCTGTCCAAACATCAGAGCCCATAGCCTGAACAGTTGGCTCCCCTGGCACTGGTTTCTGAGCACGGTGGCTGTGCTGGATGGGAGAGATGAGGGAAGGGGTGGGGAAGCTCATCTGGTCTCCATTTAGTCTCACAAAAGCCTCATTTCTGCATGAAGAGGAGGGAGAGATGTTGGTGGCAGGGTCATGAACCTCTACCTTCCTCCTTTCCGAGAGCTGGATGGCTTTGCAGCAATTACTGCTCTTTCATTTATTCATCATTTGAGTGTACCCCTCCCCAGCACTCAGCTGGGGAAACAGGTCCCTGCTCCATGCCTCAGTTTTCCCAACTGCAGACAGTAATCATGGCCTCTTCATAAGGCTATGAGAAAACTCCAGTGGTTGAAGCATGTGCAACAGCAAAGTCTAAAGTTGCACAGCTTTGGGTGACTTCTTCCCAGAGGTTCTCCCATGTTGTGAAAGCTTTGGGTGGTGGGTGCTACGCTCTGCATCCCTCTGCTCCAGGGCATTCCCACTCTTGCTGTTGTCCCTGCTCCGAGAGTCTGCCAAGTGCAGTAGAAGTGGATCTAGCATTTTGCTCCATGCATCCAAAGAGCCTCTGTGGGCCTAGTGGGATGTGTGAGAGTCAGGGCTTGGGGAAGATTGGGTCCTTTACTACCCTAATAACACCTTGTATTTTCATTTATGGTGGTTGAAGGCAAGGAGTATTGGCTGGAGGACCCGGGGAGGGGGCGTTTGCTCCCAATAA